ATCTGAAAGATGCCCTCTATGGAAAGAGCTGCTTAGCTCAAGTCTCCTTATAAGACTTGAGTCAAGAACAAGGTAAGTCAAGAACAAGAAAGGCCCTCCAATAACTGGTTAAGCTGGCAGGACACAAGTTTGCCTGTTGCAAACATCCCTGCTATGATGAGAGGCACCCTGTTTCCCTGAAAATAAGACCTAACCGGAAAATAAGCCCTAGCGTGATTTTTCAGGATGTTTGTAAAATAAGCCCTACTCCAAAAATAAGCCCCAGTTAAGATAGTCAGCCACACGGACACATTTAATATGTCCGTTGCAACACAGTTCGGGATTTGGTGAGTTATGACGATGTTCCAGAAGAAGATGACATGACTGTATTTGAATAAATATAGATTTTTGTACATGAATAAATGTAGATTGTTGTACATGAAAAAATAAGACATCACCTGAATATAAGCCCTAGTGCATCTTTTGGAGCAAAAATTAAGATAAGACCCGGTCTTATTTTCGGGGAAACACAGTATTACATTTCTATTTAAATTACAGCAATTTTTTCCAACGCTGCATTTGTACATAACAGTTACCCTATGCACATGTTTTGCAAGCCCCCACTTGCGTGGTGTGTAACTGCTCACACAGCACCCCCCTGCCTGATGGATACCCGTTTTACTCTGTGTGTTTCCTTCTGTTTCTTTCCCTGCGTGTTTGTGCATCAAGCCTCAGACTTGGCCCAAATTAAACAGCCTGGAGAGGGACGAAAGCTGTTTAGTTTAAGTCCTCACAATTGTAATCAAACTGACCCAACATGGAGGCCTCCAATCTTATGACCTCAGCTCGGTAAACATGGGGCAAGATGGCATCTTGCCAGTGGTCATTAATTCCAGATGGGTTCCAAGCAGCGGCTTGCTGTGGTCTAAAGCATACTTTTGTAGTGGTTTCATTGCCGACTGAAGAGAGGAAGGACTGTAACAAAAAGGCACTGGCGAGACGATGGATGCATTTACTGGGGAATGAGCCCAAATCACCCCCTTGGGATGCAGTTCGGAGGAGAGATGGCCGTGGTTTGTTGACAATTGTCAGGAAGCCTCCGTGGCAGCTGCAACAAGGGAAACCAGGTTCAGTCAGGAGAGATTCCTCTTGCCTTGGACCACAGCAGTTTCATTGCAAGATCACCCAGGACCCCTGCAGTTACTTATGACTGCATGAAACTGGGCAGTGGTACCCACCACCAACTACAAAAATCACAGTCCATGGACACACACTTGTATAATCTGCTAGCCACATACACCAATGCAGAGTGTTATGTAAGTTTCTGGATAATCCTAGTACAATAGCATCCTGATGTCTTTAGGCATGACATAATGTTCTAAACCGATCAGAAATACTGGCAACTATAAATAAGGAAAACATGACTGATTGCTTTATTGACCTATCAGTTGAGTAGAGAGCTCTTTGCCATTTGAATTCTGTTCAAACATGCAAATGTGTCTCATGGAGGAACCATTCAGGAAATCTGGTTTGGCAGCTTCACTGCTCAGGCGCTTGCCTCTGTGGGACTAGATGCTTAAGTGGGTCCATTCAGAAACATAGAATCATAGAACATAGAAACACAGAAACTGAGCAAGTCAAAAGGGGTCTCCCAGGCCATCTAGTCTGACCCCCGGCTCCAGCCAGCTCTGCTCATGGCATGCCTACCATGTGCATGTCCATGTGAAACAAATCGTTTCAGTTTCTCTGCAGCTTCTGCAAGTCACTAATACTGCTAGCCTATGGCAGCTTCTCAGGCCAGTTAAGAATCCCATCTTCTTACAGTAACAGCAGCACTAAGCGGTGAGCTGGCTTGGAACGCTGGTGCCTTCTGAGAAAGGGGTGCAGGTTTGATTTTATAACACAAAGGCACAGAGAAGCAACCTTTTTCTGCCAGGATTTATCTGAATTTTCCCAACATCATGCATGATGGATTTTGAAAATGTGGAATACAGGGAGCTGCTCCCCTATTTTATTTATAAAGCATGTATTTCACCTCAGGACATCTTAGAAATCAAGCACTCGAAAAAGAAAGGGACCACCCTGCCCAACAACTTGCGACAACTCTAGAAGCCATGCTCTGTTCGAAGGGAAATGGCTTGCCGTCTGACTGGCTCGTACACATAACTCACATAACTTAAAAGGGGACTTTGGACACTCGCCTGCTTGCCGTGAGCACCACAGAAGAACCAAGGAGCAGCATTCAGAGAGCAAAATGCCTGTCTTTCGGCAAGCTATGTAGCATGTTATGTTCCTGGGATTTCCAGCCTTCCCTCTATCCAAAAGTTTCCATTGAAGAATAATGCGAGGAAAACAAGACCAACAACAAAATTTCTAAAAATGTAAAGTGTTTTTAGGACCCAGTTTTAGTCCCAATGTTGAGAGAGAGACCTGCTGGATTTTTGCCTTTGCATTTCCCACCCCCTCCCACCCTTTCTGTCTTTCTCTCCCTCCAATCTTCTTTTTCTTTCTCCTCCTTAAAAAAAGTGAAACACAAAGGGATTATTTATACTTGGGAAAAGAAAGGAAGGAAGGAAGAAAAGAAGCTTCTGTTGGTACCTCTGGAACCGTCCTTTTAGAATGAGGTATGACTGCAGTTCAATTGAACAATGACCATCTGTCTGACTTAACTGAAGCCTTTAAAGACCAATCTAGTGAGAGAAGAGAAAGGGGAACATGGATTTGCATAGCATTTGCATATGCTAATTTCTATGCATAGATGTCAATTGAGAAATCATTACTGTACTCAAAATAGAAATACAGTACATCTAACTATAGTGTGACTGCAGTAAAGCTCCTTGCAGGATCAATTAAGGAAAAGCCCCTTGGTATTTGTGCAGGATCAAGTTGGGAAATGCTGGTGTGAACACACAAAAAGTTCAGGAAGAACATCCCACACAAAGAACCAAGTTGTCCAGGCATTTCTGTACACGGCAACACTCTCCGGAACCAACTGACAGACACTGATTTCTCCAAAGAGAAAGAAACCAAACTCTCTCCACCTCCAGGCCTCCATTGCTCACAACAGGGGACCTCGAGTTGCCCAATGCTCTTGGGAAGATCTATGTGCCATAATGGTTGGACTGGGGACCATTCTCCCCTAGCTCTCCGGGGTCTCCACCAAACGGTCTTGTATATCATCTGCTCCTTGATTTAGTGGAAATGCCAGAACTGACCGTGGGTACTTCAACACTCAGAGCATTTGCTCTGACCATGAGCAACAGCTTTTCGCTATTCAACTGGATCCAAGCCAGAGCATTCCCCATTCCACACCACTTAGCCGGTTGGTGTGACCAACCCCTCTATTCTGATGCATCTCAACAGTGTCCTCAGGTTCATTCCATAAATTGGTACCCTGCTGGACTCCCCAGATAGCCTCCCCGTACCACTCTACTTCTCAAAACCCATTCAGAACATTCAAACTTTTTTTAGAACAGGCTACCTCATTCGAAGAGGCTTGAGATGTAAATTTTGAAGGTGGCTTTAGCGTGTAAGCAATTTTTTGATTTGCTAGCTAGAGCAGCGACATCATAAATGGAAACTATTGCATAACTGGGCAGAGCAACAACCAATTGCCTCTGCTAAGGCGACAACTTTTACTGAACTCATACTTTACTCGTAAAAGTAAAAATGTCTTCATTCCATTGAAAGTTGTATCACTCAGACCATCCTCTCTGCAATAAGCTGATTATGCTTTGGCACCCAAGTTTCTATTCAGGTAACTAATGCATAACTAGATAAGTTAGATTGATTTTTAATCTTATTTGGAAGTCTCTCTCTGTATGATTGTTGCCTTCTTACTCTTTCCCCCCTGATGAATTCCTTTTTATATGTTGACATTCGCCTGCATGGTTTAAAAGGGGAATAAACTCTTCTCTGTGCCAAGCACTGCACCATTACAAAATGACACTGTAATGGATTTTCACATTTTTTAAGATTTCATGTTTCTGGACTTGGGGCAAGACTATCCAAAACACTGCTATTTTTCTTTGTTTCTGTGCCTGAGTGGAAGGGAGGAGGTTTTGGCTGCTTGTCAGGTTTTGGCTGCTTGGTGTGTCAGGAGGTTTCCTGACCAGTGACAGGAAACTTGGGGGAACCCCTGTAAGAAGGGGTTCACACATCAGAAATGTTATTGCTCCTTCCAATCTGTAACAGGTGATCTGTGCCCTTTTGACTCATTGGACTGAACAGAGTTTATTGATCATGTCCCTGTGTATTGACCAGATGTACAATTACCAGTGCTGGCTCCAAGCTCGGGGAGGCCCTTGGGCAAGACACCTTTGGTGGATCTCCTCCCAGTGAGTTTTCCAGCCCACCACCATGGTCACCAGCTTCTCTTGCTCCCCAACTTTTTTCTCGTGGTTTCCACCACTTCCCAGTTGGATATTCTGCGAGCCAAAGGGCAAGTAGGCACAGGCATCTCCTGCTCTTCCTTTTCTCTGCCCAGGCCAGAGTGAGAGGCAGGTGAGGAAGCAATACTGAAGAGGAGGAGCAAGTCCGTGGACCACAACCATCCCTGCAAATCACAGATAATACTGCATCAGTCCATCCTTCTTTCTGGCACTCTCAGCCAGCCAGCGGACCCAATCCAGAATGTTTACCAGGTGCCCCTTGCCCTGCTTGGCTCCATTCCATTTGGTCACAAAGTCCGCATGCCAGATGTGAGGCTGAAGCAAGTGCCAGGCCAGGTACTTAGGACCACACAGCTCTGTCCATTTCCCACCAGTTGCCTTCTCATATGTGCAAACGTTCTACTGGCATCCCATTGTGCCTTTAGCACTTCCAGCAACCTTCCAGATGGAAATGTTCCATAACGGCAGTGGAAATGCCAGCTGGTAAACCAGCAGCCCCACCCAAAACAGGGGCGTTCATTTTGCAGCTATGGAAAATTACTTTGGTTCTTAAAAAAATAAAGCAAAACTGAGGCCAAACCACACCCTTCCCCTAAGGAGGGGAATCTGCTCATTCCAAACATCCCTCTGCAGCTTTTGAAGTCAGGAGTTAGTCACAAAGTACAGCTCCTCCGGCTTTTCTAAGGTCCAGTTGGGGGTTTTCTACATACAGTGAAATAGGGCTAGAATCTGGTTAGGAAATTGACCATCTACTTACTGAGCGAGGGAGAGCAGATCATCTGCAGAAGCACAAACATGTTTAAAATTAACCTTGTAGAGGAAGCCACAAAACTGGCAGGAACCACTGCACAGGATACAGGTAAAGGACTTTTGGATTCTACTCATTTTTTAAAGCCCTTGCCTGTATTTATTTCTGTTGGCTGCTTTTATTTATAGCCTGCCTGCTTTTCTGCAAGGAATGCCAAGCAACTTATGTGTCCTTCTCTCTGGTTTGTCCTTACAACAACCCTATGAAGTTGGTCACCCAGAGAACTGCAGGGCTGAGTGGGGACAAGAACTCCAATCTGCTGGGTCCTATTCTGATCAATGGCCAGAACTGCTGGGTGTTTCAGCCCAACGGATCTGCAGGGCACCGGGCTGGGGAAAAAAAGCTCAAGTTCAGAAAGGCTGCATGTGATGGAAAAACATAGACTGCAACTTCCTATGTTTCTTACTAGATTTCTGTAGATCATGGTAATGTTAGCATGGAGCAGGTGTTGTTTTCTTGATAACCTTCCCCTTATTTTCCTAGTAAGACTTTTTCCTGGCAGACCTTCACCCCTGCAGTGCTTATTAATGTGGCTTGACTGATGGTTGAACGCTGGTAGATTAGTTCACGCATGTGCTTGTACAAAGACCTGTGGCTGGCTGGTTCTGCCTCAGCTAAGAAGCATGTGCTTTGTGATTCAAGAGAATGTTTCACACTGAAATATCTCACATTTAAAGATCTGTTTATTTAAAATTTACATCTGCAAATTGTTAATATCTGTGACATTTAAATATTGGATGCCCAAGTGGTGGTCTTTGATTTTGTTTAGGAGTACAGTACCATGTGTAAATTATCAAACCACTGTGGGATCTTGTTTAGTATTTTTGACCATATATGTCTGCCTTTTTCCTCCTTATTATGGTCTCTTGGGATGGAGGGGGGTAGGAAAGAAGTATAACTAAATTTAGACTTGGTCTTTCTATTTGAGAAAATATGTGGTACAAAAAACCAAGAATATCAATATTCTTCCCATAATAACTTTATTGCACAGCTTTTAGAAACTGCTTTTTTATACTATGCGTCCCATAATTTTACCATTAAAAACAGAAACAGTGCATAAAACAAGATGCTGCGCCTTAAATAGAATCCTTTGTTTATAGAATGAAAGCTCATTTCATTTTCCTCCTGCCAGAAGAAATGCACCACCCATCAGTACTATTATGAACTTTAAGTAAAAGTTGTGCTAGGGTGTGCCTAGGAAGGTAAAGAAAAAACTCACTTTTGCATTTTTCAGATGTTTTCCACTTCTCTTCTTACTGGTTTTGCAATCAAAGCTTGCCATATTAAATTTCAAAATAATACTCACTATATAGGTTCTATATAAAACTATAGGCTTGCCAGATGAACACAAAATAAACTGGCCTGTAGAATTTGACATTTTCCATCTTTACAAATTGTTGAGAAACAACCATCACCAGTTTTTGTCGAGAAAACATGATACTGTTGAAGGGACAGCTACCGGGACCCTCTGAAAAGCTGGCATGCCCAATAGCCAGAATTTGGCTGAGCGGGGACTGCTATTTACTTTTATTCCCTCTTTTTGGGTTGGACTTCTGGGCTTGAAAACTCTGTTCCCCAACAGAAATTCAGGAAATGATGATTCCCCCAACAAGTAGAAAAATACTGGGGGAGCTTCACCTGGGATCACCTAGCAGCCCAATCATAAAGTGCAGTGGAGCTCAGTCAGAAAAGAGTAGTCAGTAAAGCTGACATGGAGCTACTTAGATTCATATGACTTCTTGTAACAATTGATATTGATGATTAAACTCATCCAAGTTTGAAATACATCTTATTGCAATAATATTAATATTTTCATAAAGTATAGAATTCACTTACTAAAGCTGCCTGATGAATGTTGATGAACAAGTTGGATTCACAATAAAAAGTTGCTGTGTGAAGTGCTCCCAAAAGTTGTGCCCTTTTTACAGAATGCTCCATTCCATTATCTTCGCCCAACCTGTTTTGCTCTGCATTCGGTATCCACTAAGCCTGCTCAGTTGTCACTGAGCCCAAAGAGAATCGTATCTTCCATGGCTAAAGCCCAGCAACTTCTGCAGGATATCCTCACTCTGTTCTCATTCTGAACACTGTATTCCCTTACGAGCCACCATCAGGGCCAAATGCCAAAAGTGGCACAGGCCACGGCACATTCGCTCAGGTTCACCAACAACCACTTTCATTCCTATGCAACCTTCCCCATCAACGCTTATTCCCATCCCAAGCGTTCTCTCCCCGCATTCTGCATGCATTCATCTCCAAGCGGTGAAGAGGTAACCATGACAAGGAAGATAAACAGAATAGCAGGAACCATAAATAAGTTGAGCAAAGAGAGAATGGACTTCATCACCATCAACTTGCTTAACAAAACTGTTTTTTCACACATGCAGAAATAAATCATATGTATGCACTGAAATGGTTATCTTCAAATTTATGTATCACTCAGTTCTTGTTTTGTTGACATTACACAATAGAAATTAACAAAAAATCTTGATTGAGAAGCTCCTCCCATTCCTTGAGGCTGAATGGAGCCATACTGAGCCAGTAACACTGGGCTACAGAGCCATGACGGACAGTGGCAGCTTCATTTGGGCAAAGAATGCAAAGCGCGTGGAGTTGGTCTGCACTCCCGAAACTTCATCTAGCCTGGTGCTTTCCGGATGTTTGGGAATGCAACTCCCAGTACTGGCTGAGGCCACTGGGGGTTGAAATGAAAAACAACTGGAGAATACCAAGTTGGAGAAGGCTGCTTCTCTTGCTAAGGTAGTATTCTTCAGGTGGTATCTTCTGGGTAATTTCCTTCTTCTGGAACTGTGAAGTGCAGAATAAGGAATTGTCTTTTTCAACAAATGAAATCCAGTTGTTCAAGTCCCACTCTTTTGCCCCAGAGAATTTTGGTGGATGATGCGCCTTGATATGGATGACAGTGGGGAAGAAAAAGTGCTACCCAAACAGGTGTGATTCTACAGGGATACATTTTTGTTCCTGGAGTCTGCTTTTATTTGAAATTGTCTTTGCATGCTATTTTGAAAGCCTTTGCAAGGCTATGAACTACTTCTATCTTAACTCGTTTTCAAATAGTCTCCCTCTGTAAATAGTAAAACTAGAATACAATGTGAAGCAACCATGCAAGTTTGTTGTAGCTAGTTTTGATAAAGGCTGCAGAATTAGTATTCTTGCCCCGGATTTGCTTGCTTAGGTGCAGAATGTTGTTAACGGGCCACAAAACACATGGGTGTTATCAAACCTGCTCCCACATTCCAGTGAGTTACTTTTTCTGTACATGCCTGGCCTGTCGTTCTTTTAATGATCCAACTGCTGTAATTATTCAGGATTTGCGAACAGAGAACAAAAATGTTCATGTGTGTAATGTTATTTTTTGCAATCGCAGCTAACTCAGCAGGTCAGGCTGTGCAGCAAGTGCTGGACCAGGTGACAGAAGCCGGCCAGAAAGGTAGGGCCATCTTCATTTCAAAATCTGGGCAATTCTCAAAATGCATGGGAGACTAGACTGTTATGAAGAGAGGTGCCAGTGCATTCCGAGGGCTGTTCTCATCCAGCAGAGACTTGTAACTTGGGGAACCGGTTTGGCTGTTCTGAATAGTAAACCTGTGTTTGGGTAACCAGTACCAGAAGGCAGAAACCGCCAAAAACCACCTTGCCTCTGATATTCAACTGCCAAATTTTATGCTGAGCCTCCCCAGAGTGAGCAAAATCAAAATTTGACAATCAAAAATTGGCAACCCATGGGATTCACTTCATACTCAGTGAACTTTATTCTCCAGCTTCCCGGGCAGATTACAGCTCTGTTAGAATACACACTTTGCAGACAGAAATCCTGAGCCTCAAGTCCTGGCAACTCAGTATGAAAAGAAATGCAGTCACTGGTATTGCAGACAGTACTGAGATGTATGAACAAACAGTCTGACCCAATGCAAGGTAGCTTCTTGTGAGCTTTATTCTTCATCCAGCATGAATTGTTTTCCTATATGCAAGTGGCATTTTCACTACTGTTCCTGGCCCCAGAAAGGGAAACTACATGAGGAGACAATCATCTCAAATTATTTCTCATTTTGTTTTCAAGCGGTAGATGATGCCTGCAAGACAGCACAAGATGCAGGGGAAAAAGCTGCACAGAATTTGACAAGCCAGATCAATGCCTGGGGCAAAAGCTTTGGACAGAGTGAAGAAAAGAAGAGCACTTCTACTTAAGAGTTCACACGTGTGCTTCGGCTCCTCGTGCATGAATGTACAGGACAGAACAGTGCTTAAGATTTTTTTGTCAATTATCTAATCATACAATCACTCTATCTTTATTAAAAATGAAGCTGTAAATCCTAAGATTTTTTGTCGCAAGGATCTTAAACTACAAAACTCAATTTCAGAATAACTTGTGGCATGTTTAAGGAATGATGTGCTTTTTTGGATGGCTGCATTCATAAACTGGATATAATCAGCACCATGCTAGATCAGACTAATGGCCTATCTAGTCTAGCAATTCTGTTCATGTAGAAGTTAACTAGCTGCCTTTGGGAAACCCACAAGCAGGACATAGAAATGGCACCTCTTGCCCATGTTCCCCAGCAGCTGGCACACATGAGCATATGGCCTGCGATACTGGAGGCTGCCTATAGTCATCAGGACCAATGGCCATCGCTAGCCTTCTCCTCCATGAATTTGTTCAGTTCCCCTTTGGAAAGTGTCCACACCATTGGCTATCACTACATCTTGTGGCAGTGAATTCTACAGTTTTAACTATACAATCTGTGAAGTACTTATTTTTATCTGCCCTGAATCCCCCAGTGCTCACCTTCTTGAGATGACTCCAAGTTCTAGTACAGTGGTACCTCGGCTCACGAATGCCTTGGTTCATGACCAAATTGGGTCATGAACAAAAATTTCATGAAAATTTTGATGCGGGTTGCGAACTCCGCATTGGGTTGTGACCGAGATCGTGGCCATCCCCCCATGCCCCCGAGTGGGGAGATGGCCACGATTGCAATTGCATTTGTGCAGGGAAGACGTGTGTGATCACGGGTGTGTTCCTGAAGGAAAGACCGGCGCAATCTCAGCCATCTCCCCCCGAGTGGGGAGATGGCCGCGACTGTGCTGGGGGTGGGGGGCGGAGATGGCCGAGATCACGACCATCTCTCCCTCCCCCAGCGCACCCCCTTCGCACTCGTCTCTCCATCCCCCAGCACGCCCCATTTGCGCCCGTCTCTGCCCCCCCCCCCACCCCAGTGCACTGGGATGACAGGCACAATCTTGGTCGTGCTGGGGGCGGGCAGGGAGATGGCCGCACTTGTGCTTGGGGTGGGGGAGATGGCCGCGATCTTTGCTGTTCTTTGTCACTTTGCTTCACATTTTTCTGATTTTTTTTAAAAAAAATGGTTACAGAACGAATTAACCTTATTTACACTGAACCTCACTGGGAAATTTAACTTGGCTCACGACCAATTTGGCTCACAACCAGAGTCCTGGAACGGATTAAGTTCGTGAGCCAAGGTACCACTGTATTATGAGAGAGTACTTCTCCATACTTAACACTTTCACCATGCCTTATAACTTGCATGACCCTGGCTTTACCAACCACCTTCGCAGGTAAGAGTTGTGCATGCATTCAGGTGCAGCGTCACATCTGTGTCACACCCCCACTACCATACCTAGCACAATGTGACTTGAACTGGAACTATAAAGGCACATATGGACACACCACATTCTCCAGTGTACTGTGAAGAGATATGTGGGAAAAGCGCAGAGGAAAGCATTTCACGAGAGCCCTTGGAGCAGCAGAGTAACTAAGAAATGACAGGTATTAGCCAAATGATGTTTTGGTTGAAGTGGAAACTAGAAGCAAAACATTAAGCAGAAAAAGGAAGAAACCCACCTTTTAGGAAAATGAAAAGTGCTTCAAAGACTGAACCGTGTTCACACATGCATACTTGAGAAGTATGACATCAAGCAGTAACTTGCATGTGCTGAATGGACACATGGCCATGCATCAAATCAAATGTTGCAACTCCTTGTCCGACATGAAAATGGAAGAACTTCACCAAAACTGCAATATACAGTCCTTGATGCCAACAAGTTGCACCAAGGCACATGTGGCTCTTTGAAAACATAAGGAAAGTCATGAATGGTCTCTTAACAGTACTGAGTCAACAGGGCTCATCTCTTATATTCCCAGTTCATATTCCTTTCCAGAGCATACAGCTCAGGGACACCTGGCTAGGTCAGGGATGGGAAAGGTCCCCAAGACCCCGTCCATTCAGGAGAGGGGCCAGGGGCGTGACAGAGGAAGAGCAAAGGAGCTGGAGCTGACTCAGCCTGCTCCTCCCTTGCCTCCCCACACTTCTTTTAGCTGCTAAGAGACCGGTTGGTAATGCTAAGGAATCCAGGCCCCAACTCACAGACTGTGGGCTACTTCCCCTGGGCACCGAGGGGAGGAAGGCAGCGATGGAGCTCCACAGTTCGAGACATGCTTGCTTGCAAGTTCATTTTGACCGCTGTGGGGTACTGCAGCCACGACCATTCCCTCCACCCCAACTACTTTTAAAACAAACTCAGCAGGGCCACATACAGGCATGTGCTGCCCACTAGATAGGCCTAGAAGGCACAACAACCCTTACGTTTGAATGGCACCCAAGTATTTTTGGCTTACACAAGCCAGGGAATACAGTTTTCGACTATGGCAGCTGTACTTTGAGCTGCCGCCACTGCAGAAATTGTGTTATCTGTGTACGTATCACTTCAGGCAAGGGAGAGAGAGTCACCTGTAAGCCACTCCTACGAAGGGGTGGATTGTTCTTCCAATACTACTACGATGGGTGACTGAAATGTTCTCAGACATGGGTTTGGAGTTTGCGAGTTTCTCAGCTTAATTCCAAATCCAAATTCCCTTTCTTTAAACTGATGCTTTCAGTTCTCCCCCATATTGCTGGGAAAAACTATGAAAAAGTACAAGCCGGTGTATGTTTGGAAAGGTCAGCTTTTAATAATTGCTTTTGTTACCATGTTATGTCATGAGTTACAAAGTAGCTAGAAAAAAGCATGAGTTCCTGGGTGGGCCTGGGTTTGTTTTAAAAAACATTCATATTTGTTACATAAATACATCTGGCACTTAATAGGACTCCTCTGGACAAAGGACCTTGTAAAAAAATCCTCAACTGTACCATCTAATCCTGTTTTGATGGCCTCTTTGCTAAATCCTTTATGTTCAGAATATGCAAAACATCCAAACAAAGGGATCTGAAAGTGTGTTAAGACCCTACATAAGGTTCCCAATAGCAGCCAGCCTCCTCATTGGCAACAATTGTTACTTTAATTGTTCATTGAGGCAATAAGCTAATGCTAAAAGCATTCCAGAAAATAATTCACCACTGAGGGAAGCAAGAGGCTACACAAGTTCTTTGGACTACTTAAGATTATGCTCAGGAACATACCGTTCTTAAAAACAAAAGAACAAGCAAAATGAGTATGCAGAGATGAGATTAAACACAAAAGGTAATTCCACTGGATGTCTGTACAACGATGATACTGCTTCAGCTTATAAAAATACTAACTCCTGGAACTCATCGTTCTAGTTGCACACTGTAGTGCTTGAGTCAAGTTCAGGATGAGGACATGATTTAGAGTCAGCCTTGTAGCAGGAGCACAGATTATAAAGAAACACATACATTGCCTAAAGAGAACCAGGCCTATAGCTCTGCTAAGTGTAAAAATGAGAATCCTATCAAAGTTATTCCCTGCAGGAGGCCCATTCTGTCTTTGATAATGCCACTGCATTGATCATCCAAGGCCTTTACTCAAAGTGCCAACCCTAAGAGAGATACATTGTTTGAAACCAAAGTGCATGGATTGTAAGCCAAGTACTCCAATAGTACACAATGTGCAACCTGGAGCTTAGCTAGCTAGGTTGCTTATTGTGGCAAGACCACAGGTTCATACAATAAAAAGGTACCTTTTAAATTTCAGAAAACCCCCAGAACCCCCACAAGTGCAGATGTTCTCTCCTGGCATGAATCCCTAAATCCATGGAATTGTTGTCTTTCATTATAAAAGAGGACTAACCCGAATGGAAAGTAACTGAGAATCATATCCACTATAGTTAAGTGAGAAAAGAGGGATTTCTGTGGTTATATCATATCTGTAAACTTGCAATAAGCTTTCTGAAGAGGGTACACAGCAGGGTGCCAGGCAAAGACGGACTATCCATTTATGTGAAGGTCAGACCAGCTTCATTGTACACCTTGAAGACCTTCTCAATTGCATTGACGTAGGCAGCAGTTCTCAGGTCTAGACCCAGATTGTACTTCATGGCAGTACGCATAATTTGCTAGAGAATACAAAAACATTAATGTGAGTGCTACGTATAAGTACTTTGGACATCATATTCATTTTTTAGATTGCCTGAAGTAATTAATGGAGTTGTAAATAAATACTTCCATGCTGTGAAGCTCAGGGGTTTATTGATTCTGGAACCAAAGATCTTCCTCTTGGGCCCTCAGAATCAGCTATTCAAATTCTCAAACAGGCTAAGAAATTCACCTCAGAAAAGATGTCACAGCAATCCATTTTAAGACAGCTGCCTTTCCTGCCTGATGACAGCAGCCAGGCCTCACTTTCTACAGCCTGGTTAAGCTGATGCTTTGACAGTGCAACTCTAAGTGTGTTTACATCCAATTCCACTATGTTTCATAAGGCTTCCTCTGAAATAGAGGCACACAAAAATGCCATTCCCCAACCAAGTCACTAGGTTGAATGGTTGAATACCCTCCGACTGCTAGCTGAATTTTCAGAATGAATACTTTACTGTTCTGCCATAGCATATATGCTTATTCCCTCAATCTGGTCTGTCTACAGTGCTACCCATACCAAGAACAAGAAATTGGAGGAAGAGGGGAGGGATGTCAGTGTGAGAGCGCCAGTGTGGCGTAGTGGTTAAGAGCACGGGACTGGGATTCAGACAACCTGGGGTCTAGTCCCCGCTCAACCATGGAGCCAACTGGGTGACTTTGGGCCAGTCACAGACTCTCAGCCCAACCTACCTCACAGGGTTGTTGTTGTGGGGATAAGATGGAGGAGGAGAGATGATGTAAGCTGCCTTGAGCCCTTTGTAGGAAAAAGGCAGGATATAAATCGAAAAATAAATAAATAAATAAAAATGTCATACATCGTCATGTGCCCTCTGGTTTTTCTCTAGGATCGAGTTCATACTATGTTACTCCTTCAGCATGACATGATACATACCCTAGCAGAACGCTCCATGGTGTAGGCCAAGCCAGAATGAACAATGTCTTTTTCAGATGCACCCTATAATGAAAGCAATTCCCCTTGTTGGTTAATGTGAGGTATGCCATGATCTAAAGTTGTTTTTAATGCAATTCTCTAAGGGAATGAATTTCTAAGTCACTTTTTTCATATAACCCTTCCACGTAGAGCGGGAAAAGCAAAAGGAATTAAACATGAGAATTAGATCCACATCAACAAAAAAGCATTTTATAACTATTAATATTAATATAGTAAGGCAAGCAGCATGCTGTCATATATTCAATATATGATGCAAATAATTCAGCATAGTATCTGTACAGAACACTATGTTAGTAAAAATGTGCAATTTAACTGCATTTATGGTACATTTTAAATGTCAGCTCTCATATTTGAACTATAATATAGAGAAAGAAGTTAAAAATCTGCAATTGCATCCTTGATATTATATACACAAAGTTACCTTTAATTTAACCTGACAGTAACAACTTGTTCCCACAGATTTCTTTTCCTCTTTGTCTGCTGTAAATATTTAACAGAACTGAATTTTTTATATGAAACACAGACAGAGAAAATATTTCAGCAGCTACTTACAGATATCCTGTCTTGGAATTCTGCAGTAGGCACAACTGGAATACTTCCACCATGTTTCCCAAACTTTCTTTCCAAGCTCTCCTGGACAGACACTGGGAAGGAAGGAAAGGCCAGGTAAGTTTCTTTCTAAGCTGGATCCAAACTCAAATTATAGTAAGAGTATGATTGACTTAAGTCACAACAATTACAATGGGACTACTGTAAATATGACAAGGTCTGGAGCTAGTCCTTGAAAATGATGCATCTATGTTGTAAGCCGTCCAGAGACGCAAGTAATGGGATGGCATACAAATTTTATTAATAATAAATAAATACATAAATAAATGTTTCAGTTTTAACATTTACAGCCCAAGCCTATGGTACATGTTTACTCAAAAATCCCACTGTGCCCTCCAGCCTTAGAAGGCAGATCTCAGCTGTTTATCTCAAAGCACCCATCTAACTCTAAATATGATTTCTATATTACCTTTTACATACTCAAGCTATAACTAAATTCTAAAGTGACTGAAAGGGTTTCTAGCCATGTTTTGTTCAACTGACATGGCTTCTTTTTCCTTTAAGTGCCAACACAAAATGTATCCTCTTTTCCACTTCTATGATGAAATTTACCTTTTTGTAGTGTTTAGTATAGCTGTAAATGTCCTGTTATAGAACAGAAAGTGAAATTGTTCAAGGTCCTAAATTTGCATATCTACAACATTTTCAGGCAATATTTTTCAGTGAAGGAAAAACCAGAAGTTCCACAAGGCAAGTTTCAGATCATAAACCAGCCAATGGAACTAGAGATCCCCATGTGTTTCTTGGGCATATCTAGCTCAAACATAGAATTTAGTTGAATTTAATTAGCAGTTTATGTAAAATATATAGAGCTTGTTAAACTTACTTAGCAAGTGGTAGTTCGAGTCCCTTTCATATTTAAAGGTCAATCGGCCATAGCTGACATGGTTCAGGTTCTTCAACCACTCAAAATAAGACACAGTCACACCACCAGCATTCAAATAAAGATCCTGCATAGGACATGAGCAAAGGTCTGTTGCTGCTGCTATTATTATTATGAAATATTTAACAGGTTCAAGAAGATTATTGTTGCTAGCTCATGACATGCACAGGATTTCTAAACTGAAAGATTAAATTCTTGAAAAATGAAGCTTTGGTGACAGCTATTATAACCCACACTCGATAGGTACATCACACTTCAGTTTGGATCCAGTTTCTAGGTAATGAGATAAAGATCATCATTGTGGCTGTCTCTACCTCACTTGCCGGCTTGTAAGCCAAACCTCAAGGAGGAATGTGGAGAAGACTTGGGGAGCTTGCTGGAGAAGAAGGAATGAAGAAAGAGTTAAAAGCAGCACCCAATGCCACTTCCATGCTCTCTACAGCTGCCTTCCCCAACTAATGAAATCAATTGATTCTCTTATTTTCAGAAAAATATGTAGCTTATAAAACAGGTTTGAGTTACAAACAAGTATTTCTACTAAAAAAAAGTTGGGAGGAAGCTCATGGAGAAAGTACATGTTTTATAAGCTCTTGTAGTAGGATGAGAACCTTACCGGAATAACCATGATATTCCGTTCCAAGAAAATTTTATCTGCTTCAGGAGTTGTGGGTCCATTAGCACCTTCAGCAATTATCTGGAAATCAACATCAAACTATGTTAACATAGAAAAGCTTATATTAACATGGCATAATTAGCCCATTGAGATGGAACAGAAGGCATGACTTCAAAATCACGTATTGAGCGTATGTGTTTGGCTTACTTTTGCTTTGACTTTATGGGCATTGGCCTTTGTTAGCTGTTTTTCACTGGCAGCTGGGATAAGGATGTCACAATCTGCTTCCAGGATGTGGCAGTCCAGGGGTTGTGCCTTTGGGTAGGTGAGAATTGATCCATGTTGCTGTTTGGATACAGGAAAGTCAAATGACTTATTGAAATATATTATACTATAATAGAAGTTAGAATTTAAACAGCACAATAGTATACTAGGGTTTATATTTCTGGACACCACACAGAGCTGCAATCACTGCAACACTTTTCCAACATAAATGTACTAGAAGGCTGCATCACTGAGCATTCTGGTTCCAGCCAGTCGTGCCCTGTTCCCCACCCCCAATCTTCTCTCCCCCAGACACTCGCAGTTCTGTTGCCACTAAGCCCTTAACCCCCCTGCCCCCTCCACCCCCACACACCAAGCTTTTGTCAGCTTCTGAAAACCCTGGATAATTGTGTCAGGAACGTATTTCTCAGCACCCCACTTTTGGCAGCATAGCAGCCATCCACCTGGCGTTTCCTCTCAGTATTTCCAATTAGGATACGCAAAAGAATGCTCTTGATCTGGACTCCAGCCAGCCACACGTTCTTCCTGGACATGCCATTCTGTTCCCCACTCCCCTATGTCTGCCACCCCAACACTCAGCATTCCCTGCAAATAGAGCTTACTCAGTCTCACTGTGGCATTATGGGAGTCCTCTCTTGTTCTGACTTTTTCCCTTAAAGCTTATTGGGTTCTTTTGTCAATTTGTTCATGTCACCCTCTTGAAGGTAGGGGGTGCTATTTTACCTACATAGGTATGCACACTCATAATTAATTACTATATAGAATGAAAGGCACTGGATCGGATCTAGGATCTGTCCTCAGTGGCTGGAAGGTTCATAAAAGGTACCTTGGTCCAGTTTTCAGGGCTCTCTCCCCCTCTTCAACCACAGCTCACCCCATTCAGCAGGGCCCTGCATATCATTTTCAGGGAACTAGAGGAATTGCCAGCAGAAGAAGGGGGCAGGAAACCCACTTCTGTGAGCCACCTATCATTCATCTATATCTCAATCTGACCTACTGCACTAAAATTTGGTAGATGTGCCCAATTCTAGGGAGTCTCAGATTTGTTATGTTTCCTCCTAACAATTTTAGCATCACTGGCAACAATCAAGTGTTAAAATTCTCGTGTGTTTTCAGCAATAAGTGCTCTTAAGCTGCCATTCAGTCAGTATACGAGTAAATTTTGCTGCTGAATATTATTCTAAGACTGTATCCGTCAATGGTGACAAAATTCGAACTAGCAAATTAATTTGTGTTTCTTGCTTGAATAATTGTGAAATGTAAGCAAATATCTTCAAATGGCAAGTTTGGATAAGTTAAGTACTCCTAATCTATGTACTGAACCATTTCATCTCTCTACTAATCAGGAAAAAAAAAATCAGAGCAATAGATAATTCTACCCAGCCTGATCCGGTTTCAGTTGTATGGATCACAATGGATGCCAAGTGTCCAGTGCAGTGTAGTGTTAATTTTCCTACCAATTTGTAATCTTCCAACTCCTTAGGGTCAAGTCCATCAGGATTCCAGATAGCACCATCCTTTTCTCCAATGGCAACACACTTCGCACCGTATCGATGAAGGTACCTCATGGAGTGCAAACCTACATTGCCAAATCCCTGTTAAAAAGAAGACTAGCTTCAGCATAGCTCAGAGCAGCTCTACAAACAATCTGGAGGTTTGCTGATTAGCAGCAAAACTCTACACAACACATATGGCATGAACTGCAGTATCAGCAGTCTAAGAATCTCATTTGGCTCCAATGTTCATTTCTGAGAGAGACTGATGCAAGGTTGCAACATCACCCTATTATAACAGAATACTTGGTTTCCTTAAGTTATTAAACAGAAAGTATCTATATTTTGAGTCCAGCCCCACAATGGGTTGGGACACTGACACTCAACTACTTAAGTTGGAGGAAAAGGGGGCAGAATTCTTCTTGAGAAATATTTACATATTTCCCCTTTCAAGGATCTCAGTGTGGTTCACAGAATGCTCCTCCTCCTCTCAATTTTATCCCCACAACCACCACCCTGTGAGGTGGGTTGGTCTGAGAGACCACTACACCACCCTGGGTTTCTATACTTATCAACTATATTTATACAGTTCCGGAGCCCAATTCTCAATGTTTGTGCCAGAATATCTACTTGTTATCCAAGCACATCCTATTCTAAAGAAATGGTTTTTTAAAAGGCACCTGTAAACCAGAGAGCTTCAGTTGTGTAGAAATAATATAAAACTTAAGAACTTCAGCAGCAATAACCAAAGCCCTCCTTAGAACAGAGGGATCCTTATCCTCATTTTCTCTTGATTATTTTTCTGCTTTTTGCCAAGATTTGAGTTGGCTGTTTCAAGTGCCATTGCATTTCAGCACTGCCAACACAAGCAGTCCGGAGAATGGCAGTGTTAGCATCCTTTTGTTTTCACTTGGGTCAGCATTCCTGATTAACAGGCAGTCCCTCATTAGTGCAATTTTAATAGTCGTAACTGTCTATTTTAGTAACTCTAATTTTTTTACACTGGATTACTTCAAAGTCTAGCCTTGAGCAAACCATCCAAATCCTGGGTTATGATCGCCAATCTAGTCATCTGGGGAAAATTAACTCCCCCTGCTCCCCCTTGACTGGCAGTGATGCACAGAAGTGGGGTTGTGCAGATTGTGAGATCTCTTCTGCCTGGGTTTCACGGACTGCCAGGCTACTTCGTCCCGTTGACCATTCCTTATCAGAATCTATTTTTAAAAAGCAACGGTTCTTTCTACTTGCCCAAATATGCGCTTATGCTAAAGTGAATTAGGGCAAATACTGCCTGTCCTGCAAATAAAACACACGAAGATCTGCAAAATCAGCTTGACCTCCCCGCCCCCCCCCCCCGCAAAAAAGGGTAGTCTGTTGTGGACTCTGACAGGGCAGATTCATACCAATCCAAGCCCGTCTGAACCCGCTGTGGCTTTCTCCAGCATCCCTAATCAGAAGCATACTCGCTGCTGTGCCCTACCATCATCCTATGCAGACAGCACAGCGCCTACGCATGGAGTGAGGGAACTGGGCCTGCTGTCATACTGTTCGTTCACTGACCCCCTACATGATGGATGTCACATTAAAATAAGGGGCCTATTTCTGTATGGATCCGTACAGTTCCAAGTGGCATAGCTGAGAGAGGGTGCACAGAATGTGACCTAGTTTTCTTCGCAAACAACTACAGTTTCTGCAGGCAGGCACAGATCGATATTCCTTGAGGATATAACTAATTTTAGTCATTCAAGTTTTGGTGAAGTCTTATTAATGCACTAGGAAATGCATGTGCAAAGCTTGTATGGAAGCTTCCAAAACCACCTGGATGTCATTTGTGTCTAACATGCAAAACCCAAGCCATGATACATACCACAGATCTAAGCTGGTTAAACTATAAGAGATGTTTGCTACCCGGAGCGTAATAAAAAATGAAGAATTTTTGTGACATTTTACTGTTCACTTTTCCATCCACAGTACCTGGATAGCAAATGTCTTATCCCCAAATCCTGGAGTCATTCCCAAGAGGCTCATATACGATGCTTCATTAATGAAGTTCTCAATTCCATGGAAGACACCACGGCCTGTGGCAGATATACGGCCATGGATACCACCTTGGCTGATTGGCTTTCCCGTGACACATGCATGAGCATTAATATCCTGCAGGGTAGGTAAGAAAGCTTGGTTAGATTCTTCTACAAGAAATGCTTGTTAAAATATGTGAATTTTACTGAGTTAACAACTCCACCTGAGTTTTAGCTTCTCTGGAATCAACACGTTTATCTACTGTCCCCTCAAACAGCTGAATTTGTCACAATACTATGCATCCACTAAATTATAGGCATGTGAAATGATTCACAGAATACTAATATAACTGCAAGCCATGGGAGCTATTGAGCTACTTTGATCTTAAGTATGTTTTGACGTATTTTAAAACAGTTTTAAATTGAGATTTTTTTGTCGGTGTGTATTCTGTTCAGAACAAGATTGTCCTGACAAGGAACCAATGATCTCTACACCAAAATATGAAATGGTTCATAAATGCCATTACTCCCCAGTCATCATGTCAATGGCAGCCCTAACCAGTATCAAGTTCATAGAAACTCCCATATTACCAATATAGCCTCAAATCAAATACTTTTATACCCAGAATGAGTTATCATGCCTCAGTTATCTGCAGTTTAGATAACTTTGCAAAGCGATTACAAAAGTTAAGTCTACCGATGTAATAACCATCTATAGGGATCAGCCAAAGGAAACTTCCATGTACGGGAAACCTTTGCATACCGCTGTCTGATACTCTTTTGTGCCGTTTTGGCTGGCAGCCCAAGAATTACATGCAACGAGATGCGCACTGCAGCACGCCTGCCCAGCAAGAACTGTGGCACTGCACCTGGCACCCCACTCCTCCCATTTATTTTGTTATTTGTTTTTCGGCGCCAGGCTAAGACCTTTTTATTTAAAACTTATTTTAATTGTTAAATTATTGAATTAATTAGGATTTTAAATTTTTTAGCCGAGAATGCACCGGGGGGTTTTAAACGATTTTTTTATTGTTATATTATCATTATTTATGTATGTATTTATGTATTCTTTGTGAGCCGCCCCGAGGCTTTGTTGCAATGGGGGCGGCATAGAAATGTCTTAAAAAATAATAAATAAATAAATTTATGGGAGGTGCAAGAAATGTACCCATGTGGTTCATAATCACAGTGAAATAGCTTGGCAATAGTTCCTTTACTGATTCAAGTATTTTATACAGCACATTAAGTCTAGATTACTCTAAGTTCAGCTTGAAACAAGCTTATATGAGAATTTAAGGAATCTCAATTACTTAAAATATCATCAGCTCTGGATATACTCTGTGCTAGCGCATAAGAGGATTTGATGCCTTTACAGGCAGTTTACAGCTAATGCTATTAATCACTTTTAAAATAATCAGTAAACAGGAATGTGAACCTAATGCAATTATTTGAAAACAATCAGCACTATTTTTCAACTTGTTAGAAGTCTGGGCAGGTATTCAATCCTGTAATAGCAACTTTACCATTCTAGTTGAAAATTTTTTCACTCTGTGTTTTCCTCATTTTTTTCAGCTTCTGCCTCTCTCTGAAACTGCTGAACCATCATTGAAAGTAAGACAAGTGGGCTAGCTAGCTTCTAGTTTTGCACACACCTGTTCCCTTCAAAACATAGTGAACCACATTACCAGAAACACTACTGCCAAAAATATCTGCTTCTTTAAAATGCAGGTTGACCAGACATCACCATGTTTTCTCATTACTGGCTGTTACTGGTAGATAAACACTGATTCACAGTGGCAGAAAGGGAGTCTATTCCCATCCTTGACCTGCATGCCTTACAATTTTGAACTTCCCTGGTCAATAAATTTGATTTTCATTTAATGTTTGGTTCATTTTAATTTAACTTTTACAGAACCCACTTAAAATCTTTGAATGTATTCTTCCTACCACACCTTAAAACATCCTTGAAACATCTGACTCAGAGTTAAGCTATGTTCTTTCGCTGATGGCTCATAACCAACTTGCTTTGTACATAACTGCATTGTTTAAATTTTTCTTCTCATCTCCCTCTTTCATAGAAAATGTATGTGGGATACACATTTATTGCCTTGCAATCAAATCCCATGTTTTGGAAAAGGAAAAATTAAACAGCAAACTGTACAACAAATCTTGACAAGGGTCCTTAGCACACAGTTACTCCATAAACTTAAGCAATTCTTGTGCAAAACAAAGTTAATTGGGTTTACAATTTAATTAGGATGCCCCAGCAGCACCATGCCACAGACAGATTCTTTTAGGACAATATAATACAAGAAAAAAATGGCTGAGTTGAGCTAAAGAATTTCCAGGAGATGCTTTAATATCTGAAAACTTGCTGTGAATTCCGAAATAAGTTGAAGTTTACCTGATGACCAGAACCAACATGCAAACACATCCTGGAAAAGCACAGCTCTCAAGAAGCAGCATTTTCAGTTGCAAATAAAGGAGGAAAGAAAAGCTGTACAGCAGTGCTGGCTTACTGATCTGAATACTAAATAGTTTGTTGCATTAGAATTTACTTTTCATTGCAAGATGCTTGTTGGTCAAGAAAGATTTTAAGCCTAGACATGCATAATTGCTTTGTACTTCAGATACAAGATTAGTTGATTCTTCATTGCTTTGTGACCCAGAGTAACTTTTCAAAAATAAAAACAAAACCAATGTAATATAAGCGGCCTTGATAGAATTGAGTAACCTCAAATAAGTTACTCAGGAAATGGTCTCCATAGTGAACCTGAACAAACAAAATCCTAATTCAGAGCAATCTAGCCAAGAAAGCAGTGGAATTATTCAACAGTTTTCCCATTCATGAATAATGGAGAACTCTCAAAGGAAAGCCTTTTGTCTCCTGGAGAAAACACTGCCCACAGTTGTGGTAAATCCTAATAGGCAGCTTAAATTTGCTTTGCAAAGATGTACAGCCTTGTTTCCCACGTCTTGCTATTTAGAGAGGAACACTTGTTAAAATGAAAATGACAAGAACTGTCCTGCAGGGTATCTCAAATATGAATATTTTTCTACGCAAAGATATATTGATACTGGTGTCAACCAATAGTGCAATAATGAGCTACACATATGAATGTCTTTACACAATTTTGTATCAATGGTCCATCTAGCCCAGTATTATTGTCAACAGCTAGTCAAGGTCATCCATAGGTCTTTCCCAGTACTGCTAAGATTTCCTCCCTAGATCCTCTTTCTGCATGTACAAGCACCCTTTCTCCCAACTATCAATTTCTGATTGGTGGATTTAGGAGCTCTAGCAAAAAAGGGTATCCCCCAAATGTGGTCTGCAAGGTATGAAGAACAAAGTCTCAAAATGCCCGATAAAAAGATGGTATTGTCTTTCCTCTGTAAGTGAGCAGATCACCCATGTACGGCCATCACTTTCTAAGTCAAAGGTAGCATACAGGAGGAAAGAGTTCAGTGTGACTTTCTCCTTAACATAATCTTACATACCTTAATTTGTAGCTTATAGAAGGCACAACCATTAACTTTTGTAATGTACAAAGCAACCCTCTTTAAAAAAAACAACAAACACTTCCACATCTTGGAATTAATCAAGATTCTCATGATTTACTGGTTTGGGGGAAGGTGGTTATATTTTATGATGCAATGAACAGAACAAACACTATAACAGACTCTGCCAGTTTTGCATATTCCAAACTAAGGCTGCAATCCATAATTTTTGGGAATAAAACTTACGGAACAGTGCAACTGACTTACAAGCAGACACAGATAGCATATAAGGCATGGCAAATATTTGTATTGTGCTGAATTTAAGAGCGCTTATTAAAGCAGTTTATGGAAAAAGTAATCTTGCACCACTAGGAGAACGTGTCGGCTAATGTTGCCTCAGCCAAGCGTGTGCTTTCACGCACAACTTACATAGTGTCCTATGGTGTTGGCATAGGTGTCTGCAATCCAGGACATCTCCCTTTCACCAGTGCTCATGTCAGGGGCAGGCACATCAACCCCGGGTCCTGTTAACAAGATTAAAATTGTTAACACAGTTTGAACATCAGTACCAATTATCCACATTTACAGGTGCTGAAGTGCAATCATAAACCCTTAATGATCAAATATCATGGTGCCTCTTCATTGGTTTCACAGACTACTTTGTTGGTTTGTTCTTTATGAATTGCTGTTCTTACGATTCAGCTAAATTTTGAAGGCTGTTTGAAAGGCTTCCAAATTAGAACTCCAATCCATTGATGCATCTATAGTGTATCTGCAGCAATAATAGAGGAGTATGTGACATAAAGGGAAAGTGGAAGCTTTATTTTGCTGTGTCTATGTATCATCAAAGGCCTTTGCACTTTCCTGGAATTTTCATCTTGGATTCTGCTTGAAAGTGCAGAGATTTACTAGTTCATGATTTTAAAATCACCATATATTGTCCTTGAAAAATAATTGGTTTAATCAGCAAAACTAGGAAAAGATCTTGTATTCCTCTCTAGGAATTTCTTCCTTTTAGAGCACATAAGAAGCAGTTCAGTTCTACTACTCTGCTTCTGGAGATGAGGTGAACTCTTTTTTACAGTCATGTCTGCTTATGAGAAACAGTTCCAGATGTATTAGAAGACATGTAAAAAAGAAGTGAAGGGCACTGTAAAGGCTGGAAAACACAGTATAACATAGTTGTCCTGGTATCCAATGTTTACTTTGGAGCAGTATTACAAATCTTTACTGTTGGGTTGCTATGAGGTGGAGCATCCACTTCCTTCCTCAACTTCCTTTGATATTGCCACAAATTTGACCAGGATGAAAAGCTAACAGGATAGTAACACTATTCTGAATATCAAACTTTTAGAAAAGCATATATGTAGCTGTTAGCTACTGGGTATATTACACAAAAAAGTAACTGAAGAATGCCAGTATCTGGTAATTAGATCTGAGTCATAAAAGCAATTTTATCCTATCTTGAAATGAATCCACTAATTAATTTATAATTAATAAACTAATTAATGTGCTTCTGGTGCCTTTATTTCTGGAAGCCTTCTTTAGTAGGCCAACCATTATTATTATTATTATTGATATTCTTTCCCACAGCAATTAGTACAACAATTCCGCTTTACATACCAATAAAGCCCTTCTTTGCTAGTTCAATGGTAAAACGTCTTGTGATTTTTTCCAATTCATTATCCTATAAAAAATACAGTTAAAAGTTCATCCCACTACAGATCAATTCTTACAACAAAAACTGTTTTGATTTTACCAAGAAAAAACATTATGGTTTTACAAAGAAATAGATTACGTAATTTTTAACAATCTGTTTCAGATATATCTCAAAAATACAGTGCAACTGATGAACCCTTCTATCTCCAAGCTGGAGAAAGTGGGTTCTAACTGCTTTTTACCCAACCCTTCTGAGGTATCATAAGTGCCTTGGAAGCACAATACTTCTCACTCCTTTCCCCGGCTTCAAGCTTGGAGCAGCACAGGGAATTATGGGATCACCCCTGACCTTGCAATAAGTTGAAGGAACAGAATATGGTCAGGGAAATTTAAGTAACTGGCTGGCTAACAAGGCCAGCCAAAATCTGTGTACCTGTGAAACAAATAATATAAAGAATTGTACATTTTACACAGAAGGCTGCGAGTGACTCGTAGCCTTGACAAATCTTAGTTTTGAATACTTTACTCTTGTTGATTCCCTCCATGTCAAGAAGATGCAGAGCCTCAATTTCCATCCCACAATCACTACTATCTTCATACAGCAGAACAAATTTGCCAACCTAAACATGCCAGTTAAAAGCATATTGAGACTTACTGTATAATGCCTAGGATTGATCTTAACACCAGCCTTTGCCCCACCAAATGGCACATCTGCAAATGAAAGTTCACATTTAACATTTTAAAAATGCTGACAAGAATTCAAAACAAGAGTAACTAATAGAAAATATAATTAACTACCACTGTTAATATTTGGTGTTTTTATATTAGCATTCCTCACAAAGGTAGGGAGATGAGACGTAAAAACTGAAAAATGGAATTCTGCTGAGCCAGAGTCAGCCTCCTCACATCTCTCCCCATAACGAAGAAAGCAGCAAAAACACTGCAGCAACCCACAGTCCAGTCCTAATGTGACCCTAGGAAGAACACACCATATGTAGGTCAAGTGTTGTTGAAACATAAACCACAGGTTTAACTTTTGAATTTTAGAATTTTAGATGATGTTAAGCAGGTCTGAAAAACTAGTGGGCTTAAAATAAATTGGGATATACATCCAATTTTGTTATCCTAAAATTATAGATTGATTTGTCACAGCCTGAAAATGTGTTAGAGAATAAGGATACTGTTTTAGCCCCTGAAGTATGAAATTTCCTGAGGTGGTAATGAGAGATTTTTCCAAGTAGAATTTCATGTGAATAAAAACTGACTCAGCCAAATAACAATTTTAAAATTGTACTCAAGCATAATGTTATTATTTCTAAGACAAAACAGAAGAGTTTATGTCTCTCAGGATGTCAGGAATGCATGCTCTACTTCTTGAACTAGAATAACAAGTCTAGGTTCCAAACTAATTGCTCATTTATTAAATTTTAAACGAAGCAAAATCTGTTCTGCACAAAACTTGCTAGTTAGTGAAAATGCTGTTTTTCCCATGAGTGCTCTCCCTTTCCATCAAAGCTGAAGGTGGGCACAAACCTCTGTGGTCTGTCCTTGCATAACTACATCTTGCACTCTGTTTCCTCCACTCAGCTGCTTTCCCAATCTAGAGAAACCATCATGACAGCAAGCAGGCTGGGGCATTATCTGGATATGGTGTATGTAATTGACCTCAGCTTCCTTCCCCCCATTCCCCCAAACATATCCCTTTAGCCCTCTCCCAGGCGGATGGCATACTACTGAGTTATGGCTCGTATGGTTCTTCCTACACTGGCTTGGAGAGGAATGGGGCACAGCTCTGGATTTGGAACCCTACTCCATGGTTGCTGGACTTCAGAGTCGGGATTTGGAATAATATTGTGGCCTACCAGAAAAAATGTTGTTCATTTTAATCCAAAGCTGTTCATTGCTCGGGGAAAAACTAAACCTGTGCACTAAAAGTGTTCTGTCCCCCAATTTTTTCCTCATTATCCCAGGACCTTCACATCTCTAGCAATGACTAAGAAAGTGTCCTTAACCAGAATTACTTACCAACCACTGCACATTTGTATGTCATTAGAGAGGCCAAAGCTTTCACTTCATCAACACTCACTTCTGTGCTGTAGCGAATACCTATTCAGAAAATAGTGAAAAACATTAGCTAATTATATAGTAAAATTCACTCTTTAACTTAATTTTTTTATATGTCAGCTACAGATAAGCTACAAAGGTTTAGAACAAATTTGTTATTTGTTCAGGAAGCACTGTAAAGGAATCTCTGGGAAAAGTTCCATGCAACCAGTTTTGTGCAGTTCTCTGGAGGCAGACAAAAAGAGACCCCAAATTTGTATGCATCCCATTTATTCAGATTCTAAAACTGACTATCTCTCCTTGATTAGCAGCTATTAATAAGCATGACAGGAAGCTTACTTACCCAAGTATGCATGCCAGCATTCCTATCTATAATATTATGGTTACTATCCCTGCAGTTCTGGCATTGTTTTCATAATGTTTTAGGCCTGATGCTTTGATTATTCAATTTTAAGCAGTTAATGCACAGGAACACCATGTCAGCTGTCAGTGGGTGGCTTGTCACAGCTGCTGTACATCAAGACAACATTTCCACTGAGTTACCCACCATGGCCCCTATTAGTCAGTCACCCCCCCAGCACAAACTTCCATCAGTGTACATGTGAAGGGGAGGGTATATCAATGTATATTTATACTCACTGAAATGGGTTTTCCATTTTAAAATCCATTGTGAAGGGATCTTTGTGGAGCTCTTTGCTGTTCCTTTTCATTTTAATTCCCTATTTTGGTCTCACCTATAGAATAGGTCCATCTCTGCTTACCACTATGTGTCAGATCATGCAGGAATAAGTTTAAAAGCACTAATTATAACACAGAAACCTGGGTGACACCATTTCTTGTATCTGTTGATTTATTCCTATTCTTTTTCTCTTATGCAATCAGTTACTGATTCATAAAACAATCCATCCCTTTATCCATGACTGCTAAGTTAGTTCAGGAGCCTTTAGTGAATGGCTCTATCAAAAACATTTTGATTGAGTACATAGTATCTAGTAGATCATTCCGATTCAGATGCTTGATGAAACTCTGAATGAACTCTAAAATATTAGAGACATTCTGGTTTGGTTCAAACAGAATGATAAACCAGCAACAAGCACACATTGCTTCACTGAATTCTCCTACCAGCAGGTGCGGCTAAACACAGCAGAAAGCCTCCATCCATGGTTCGACAGAATCACAACCAAATCAAGATCCCTGGGGCTCACTGCTCTCCTAACAAGTCGAATAAGCCAAGAAAGAATATTGGCTTAGTATTTCTTAAATAATGCTCTGACTAAATCTAGCTCCAATTTGGTCATGAAGCTCACTGAGTAACTTTCGGCCAGTCTCACCCTAACCTACCTCAGAGGGTTGTGGTTGTGAGGATAAAATGGAGAGGAGATCCTTATGAACAACCTTGGGTTCCTTGCAGGAGGAAGAAAGGCATTCTAAGTGTAATGTAACAACAACTTCAGAAGTGCCTAATTTGTCACTTCGATGTATTAATAATAAGCTAAGGTATCTGGCAGATTGACAAATCATAAGAATTTACAAATGAGGCAGACTTCCAAGTGCTACAAGGCAGAGGATCCTGTTTTTGTTACTGAAAGCTCATTGATATTTTATGTTTTCAATCTAGTAGACTATAGAAAGCACCCACCATTCTATTAAGCCAGAACAAATATTTCCATTAGAAAAGCACTGAAAATCACACAAAGGGTACACAGTAGGTTAGCAGCTCCTTTTCAGTTCAGTACAGAGCTGCTATAATTTTCTTTCTAAAGCCCTTGCACTAGAAAACAAGATGCTTTTCTGTTATAAAAGGCCAACATTACAAAATGACTCATAACTGTGCAAAATACTTTCCACTAGAATCAGAAGAGAATCTTGTTTGTTGGGCTGACGATTTTTTCCTTTCCGGCACACCCAAAAGTAAGTTAACTTAGTAAGACATCCTGATTTATTAACTATTGATTTGGCTCATTTGTAATGGAGCAGTACTGAAAATACCTTGCAGATCTCAGAAAACTTCACGAAGCATAACAAAGGCTCTCCTTAACATTAATATTCACACATGCACTCAGATTGCCAAACCACCTCTGAGAGTGATATCCCGCATTCTTCTTTACAAAAAGCAGGTTGTTTAAGAAATAGAAATAAAGCAGAAACAGCAGGCTAGCGGCAGCCTGTTTGCCTGCTCCAATGCATCCCTATGTATCACTTAACTCACTGTTATCTACCCTCAAACAGATGCCCCCCCAAAATTCTATTTAATACTGTTAGAGGCTTCGGCAAATGGGGCGGCATAAAAATGTTTTAATAAAAATAAATAAATAAAATAAATTACCCGTTATGCACGATTATATTTTTAACAATCAAATGTTAATTGAAAGTAGTTAGGAGTGTTGTGCGGCTAAAAGTAGGTACAGAAAACAAGATACTGAGCCAATAAGTACAATTATATTTCAACTTAAGCCAAAATAAGTATAGGACTTTTGCTTATGGACAGAGTCCCTTCATATTCCATTTTGTAACTTTTAACAAGATGTAAGACAGGAAGCCTCAAATTAAGCCAAAGCTGCTAGCTTCATCTGAACTGGAAAGCTACAATTACTAGTTTCATAACAAGCTAGGATATTTAAGTTGATATAATATTCTGATTCGTACTGAGCCAAGATGTTTCTAATTAACATTTTTTAAAATTTTCATTTAACTGGTATCTACACAGTCAGTTAGAGGCTTCTGGGGTTAATTGTGGCCTCATAGTGTGTGAAGGGGCTATGCATCAAAGACAAAAGGCTCATGTGTATCTCTACCTAATGGGTGAGTTCACACAAAACAAACTATGCAGTGTCAGCTTACTGTGGAACATGTCATGATGCACACAGTGGGCTGTGCCCCTCTCCTTCCCCCTCAGTACTCCCCTGCTTTCCCACAGGCATTCTCAGATTGTCTTGCCTCCTCCCATGCTGTGATCATGAGCCCTTTTTAGCTCACTGCAGCTTCCCCATTCCCTTTTTCAGAGACTCCATTTTCACAATTTCTAAGGTGACAGCCCCTAAAAATTGTCTAGGAGTGATACTAGAGGGTCTATCACTGGTTCGCCTCCCTTTTTGAAGCACAAGAAATTTATGCAAATACTTGCGTGTGCTTTCTCCATTTACAGCTCTCAAAAGCTGCCAAGGAAAAGTAGACAAGAGTGATCTTTGCTCATGAACAGAGGCTGAAGACTTCCCCCCTTTGGAGTGAGATCTTCAGGCTTTCCAGTGCTTCCTCCACAGTTCCTACACCTCCCACCTTTTCCAGTGCCCCACCTTTCCGACCCTTCCCTTTGATTGAGGGTGCATGGGGAAGGGGAAAAGTACATTCACCTCATTTCTGTTGACATGTACTTCTGACAGTTGTCAAAAGTAAGGTTTTCTTTTAAAACAGGCTTCAGATAAGACTAAGCAGGGGAATATGTGTAAGTAAAAATTTAGCCTATTTAAATCTTCTCTGGGTCAATGTTCGTGGTCAGTGACTGCCAAACTTTGACAGCAAACTCCTTCCAGGACTTTACCCATGTAAAGCTTACTATTTTGGACCCCTGTAAGCATTCAACTCTGCATTTATGCAGAACAAAAAAAAACAATCAAAAAGCCCTCTAACTGAACTATTTACAAGTAATAATAAAAAAACAAAAAAAATCCTGTGCTTTTTAAAAAAGAGGACAGCAGGGCAGTGATACCCCTGAACATGCTACTTTGGCTTACTGAGGGACTGCCATTTTGAAGATAACAAAAAAGAAAAAAAAATCTCGCTCAAAAATTTGGGGGTAGGAAAGCAGGAAAAGCCACAGTGCTTGCAAAAGCAGGGCTGTGGAATCAGTACCTACTAATTATTCCGTATATTGACTGAAAGCACTCAATGTACAAGGCATCATCACTGCCATAATGAAACTGCTAATTTGTGTAACACATGCTTTTTCACACTATTTTTCATAATGCATTGAAACACATATTTCCCATCTGTTGTTACTGTAAAGTGTTCAAAAACAGCTGACCTTGTTGACACTTTTCTGGCACTGTGAATTTTTTCATGGGGTGCCACTTTCATTAATATATGAAATCAAAATATATCCTGAAAAATAACCTGAAAAACTATTACCTGTGAAATAGGAAGTTTAAGCAAAATTATACTACAATTTGAATTTATTAGGAGTCAGAACATGTTACCAACGTCAACTCTGACTCCAGTAGTCCAAAAATTGCTTCCAACTCAGAACCCTGTGCTGAAGGACTCATGGAGACACAGCAGACACGGAGCCAGGGGGGATTTTTACTGCTCTTGCCAAGTAGCTCACTTGCTGCTTTCTTGTACCCCCAATGGAGTCAATCTCCGAGGCTGGGCTGGCACAACAACCCAGCATGGACAAGGATTGACAACATAGCTTGTTAGCTATGAAAACTTCACCCCTGTAGAAAGTGGTCCAAGCTCCCTTGACATGAGAACCCACTATAGCTAGTTACCCATGATGGGCTCTTGTGTCATATAAGCTGTGACAACAGCTTCTGTCCAAGGTCTCAGACTTTATACCTTTAAATTTAATTGGATATGCCAGGGAGTGAACCTTCTGCAAGAAAAGTGTTCTACCACTGATCCATGCCCATCCTCTGTAAAATTCTAATACTGGTTCCTATAAGCCACCTAGGAAGGCCTTTTGGCACTTACAGGCAGCATATAAATATGTGCATAAATAAAAATAAATATGAAGCTGCCATATACGAAGTTTGCTGATGTCTGCTTAGCCTAGTTTAGCTCTGATTGCAGCTAGCTCTCTGCTGACTTATCAATGTTTTTCAGAGCCCTGCTAGGTATCAGGAAGACAGAGCACTCAAGAATCCCATTGTACATAATTTTTCTGCAACTTACAGGAAAATTATCATACTACAGTTATAGCATGACGGTAAAAGTATAGATCTGTTGACATTCTTAGGCATCACTTTATGGGAGCTAAAATCATATCATTACTAATGAGAAGCCGAAGTAATACAGGACGATAGGGTCCATACTAGAAACATGGT